CGAGGCAATTCGGCAAGAAGTACAGCAATTAAAATCGTCGGGTTCCCATCAGCTGAACGATTACCGTTCAAAAGACCATTAGTGGACGGTTTCCGAACAAAAATTGATAGGTGTATGGTCACCTTAAGTCTTTACTCAAATAATGTAGCAAACACCTCTAGGTCCCTGCATGATTTCACACAGAGCTGAGGACATGCTGTCTGTTTAACCACTGGGCAGATTCACCCTCTGTTTTTGTCCTAGTGGGACCCTAGATCCCTAGCTACTTTGGCATGAAATATTTTTCAACAAGGTTCCGGACCAAGAACTTGGCCTTGCACCCCTCCTCCCACCTTCATGCTATAGTGCTGTTCAATTATCACCGCAATGGCATTCAAGAACCCAGAGAGCCCTTTGTGAAATCTGGCTGAGCATGTAGACAACTAAAGGAACTTTCTACGTCATTCAAGACCAAATAGGGTTGGGCTGACATTTGGACAATTTGCATCACAAATATCTTCAATTAAATCCCAACTCCAGCAAATACTTTTTATTTTGTTTTGGACAGAGTAGGGAAGAGTTAGAGTCTCTGTTAGATTTTTAGTGCTGTGTTCCCAATGACAGGACAGGAAGTAATCAGAAATCTCCCCAAAAGGGACACAGTTGAAAACAAAAACACATTTTTAGTAGAGTAGGCAAAGATAAGAATGTCTGATGATGTCTTTTTTGTCTTCTTTGCCTTCTTGTCTTAGTGGCAATTGCTTCCCCTTTTCCTGGTGTAACAGGGACAGTTGGGAGAAAATCTTCCCAATGAGGTCACAGACAGAAATAAAACGTGGCAGAAACAAACTCCTCCCCACTCTATCCAAAACCAATCAAAAAAAAAATTGGCTGACTTTAACTTTTGAAAGATCATTTACAAAGATTAACCCTTTCAAGCACATAGGGTTCTGTAAATGAGTTCATTGTGAGTGATTTTAGTGATGGGTCTTTCATGTTTAACAATTGTGCTTGTCATTTTCATGTTTTAATTATTGGAAATAGACAACATGCTGCAAAACAACTGAGCACACTCCATCTAAAGCAGGGGTCCTCAAACTTTTTAAACGGGGGGCCAGTTCACTGTCCCTCAGACATTGTTGGCTTCCTGATTGGTTAGGAAGGCGGGCTGCCTACCAACAAGTGAAGCCTGCTTCCCAGCCAATCAGGACGCCATGATGCAAGTCATGACGTACCACCTGGCTTCCTGATTGGCTAGGAAGCCGGCTTCACTTTTTTCTAGGCAGCCTGGCTTCCTGACCAATCAGGAAGCCGTGACACGAGTCATGACGTACTGCCCGGCTTCCTGATTGGTCAGGAAGCCAGGCTGCCTAGAAAAAAGTGAAGCCGGCTTCCTAGCCAATCAGGAAGCCAGGTGGTACGTCATGACTTGCATCATGGCGTCCTGATTGGCTGGGAAGCAGGCTTCACTTGTTGGTAGGCAGCCCGCCTTCCTAACCAATCAGGAAGTCGTGACACGAGTCATGACGTACTGCCTGGCTTCCTGATTGGTCAGGAAGCCAGGCTGAATTGAAAAAATTGCTGCAACAGAGCGTGCTGGTTACTACTTAACTTACCCTGGTGGTCAGTGGGGGCTCCCTGGTTGTGGGAGGTCTGCTGTGGCCGCAGTTGCAGTGGCTCCCTCCGCCACCTTTCTGCCACCTGCGCCGGTCAGCCCGCCTGCTATGTAATCGCCGGCCGCTCAGGGGGGTCCTTAGGAGGCCCCAGCGGGCGGCCCTCTACAATGCCTGATTGCCTCGTATGCAATCCAGGCTGTCTGGATCAGGCAGACACGGCCCTCTAATCAGGCATCGTAGAGGTCCGCCCGCTGGGGCCTCCTAAGGACCCCCTTGAGGAGCGAGCGGCGGCCCAATTAGAGAGCCGCATCTGATGCAGCGGTGACGCGCCCCCCCAATGGGCAGGCGCCCCCCCCCCCCCCCGCTACGCCACTGGGAGGGAGTGAAGACAGCGCCACCCGGTGCCTGTCCCCCGCCGCCCTTCACCCGCATCTCATCGCCCACAACCCACCGCCAGGAGCGGGCCGGGTTAAGAACCCTTACGGGCCGGATGTGGCCCGCGGGCCATAGTTTGAGGACCCCTGATCTAAAGCAATGCTGATGATCCTGAAATATAAACATATGCACAATATGAAAGGACAGCTCTATTGAAGGAAAGCCAACAGTGGTTATGGATGTGTCCAATGACAGCAAAGGCCTAAATGCAACTATGGTAAGGCTATGGACCTTAACAAAATTTACATATACCTAAGAAACAATAAATGAGCTTCAAAACAAGCCCTCCACTGTGGAGCAATTCAGCATCGAAATTTACAGCCGAAACACTTTAACTTTCAGCAGCTCAGCTTCTTTGGCTTCCTTTCCCAGCAGTAGCTTGGCAGACAGACAGCTTCCCAATCTCTAAGGTAAACAAAACAGAGGTGCTTTGGAAGGGGAGAGAGAAGAGGGCCGAGAACCAACTTTCAACAACTTCAAGCCTACCCTTCTGAAATTAGAGGAGGAACTTCTCCATATTCTTCAACAACAGAGGTTAGCAAAGGTCTTGCTTTATAACAAATTTATTGCTTGCTATAAATATGCAAATCCTTGAAGATCCATAGCCTGGCCAGAGTTACACTTGAACCTCCACCTTGACTACACCGACTTGATCACCCATCACCTCGTCAGCTTCCCTGCTGACTTTGACCCACCACACTATTAATGCTCGGGCACTTGTCGGGCCCTGGTCCACACATAGACTCAGCCGCACTACCCACAGCTGCAGTCACAGCAGCCCAGTCAAACACTACCCGTGTACACCGCCGGAACTTCACATCACAGCAGCGGGGATACGGACAATATCTTAGTGCTGCCACCCGCCCCCCGCCCCTCCTCTCCGTCTCTCGCCTGCTCAAGATGAGTAGCCTCAGGCAGTACACCAGCCTCCATTGAGAACACACATCTTGGACTTCACGATCCTCCCACAGACCGGTCCTCATCCGATCCTCGGACCCACACTAGTAAGTACACCATTTAATTTGCCTTTTCTTTGGCAACATTCAGCCCAGCTAGATAGCCCTCCTTATCTACTACTATATAACCCTCCTTAGCTTTGTGCCCTCACTTTTGTCTTCTTTAGTTACACTTGAATAGGAACTCAAAACTTGCCTTTGGGTTTGAAGGATAGACAACACCAGTTATTGATGTGTCCATTGGCAACAGCAGCTTAAAGTTCAACTGTGACATATTCAAATATTCACATATTCTCAACAATCAGTAAATTAGCTTTAAAACAAGCCTTTACTGACCTCTTTAGTTGCAGGCACCGTAGAGTAACTAATCCTCAAAATTTACAGAAGGAACACTTTAACTTAAGCTCACCTCATTCTGCTCCCTCTCCCAGTAGATTGAGGAAGCAAAGAGTCAATAGTGCTGTGTAAGGTTTAGACCAACTCAGAGCTTACAGAGATTTTTGTTTTACTTACCGCGCAAAGAAGGTGGAGGGGGAACAAGTGAAAAGCAAGTATAAGCAGCATGGGGAAGGCGGGTATTAAAAGAACCTGTTACTTTGCCCTTACATGTGTACTTTGATGGCACCAATTAACATAAAAGGTTATGTAAGTGAAATCTGTATTAGACACCTTAAGTATATTTTGCTCATGAGTGTACAGTGGTAACCACATGATTGGACTTATTAGATTACTTTGATTTCAGTAGCTATTAAGACATATCTATTAAGTAAACGCAGACAAATACGACATGAGTATAGTAATATCTCAAACCATTGCTTGATTCCCTTTAACAAACCAACACATTTCTAAAATAGGGCAAAGCCAATGTTTACTGTGTGAATGAGCACTTAAGACTTTATTATGCACTTGTACATCAATGAATTTACACATTATTTGTCACCACAAAAGCCCTGTACTTTGCGAACTTTAGTCATTATGTATTTGCTGCCAAGGCTATGTCCATTTTACCAGGAATGTTTCCCTACTTGAAGTCCACATGGATGACAGATGTTTGTAGACTAAAATAAGGGAAGGGCTTTTATTTGTTAGTGGTAAACACCATCCACACATCAGTCCTACAAAAATAGAGATAATGAAGCAGCCACAGCTTATATGACCACACAAAGCAGCCGTCCAATATGAAAGAAAGTGCAGAGTAACAAGGATATAACAAGACCAATAATGTATGCAGTAATATATTCACTAAATGTAAACCATCATGGTATAGTTTTACTTTACTTTTTTCTTTGTTTCTTTAACTCATGTGACCTTCATTTTCCAATAAGGAAACATGCATTTTTGAAGCGACACTCTTCCAGAAACATTCTTAACAAACACACACTTTTAGAAAACTGAGGAAAACAAAGGAAAATAAAAAAGGACATAAATAAATTTGAAAAACGTGAAAGTATCTGTTAATGTTCAATATCTACTATGCTTGTGCTATTGGTGTTTGCAGAATCCATCTTGTCAATATTCGGAAAGAAAATAAAACATTGTGCTTCCACAGAAAAAAAAAATAGTACCCTGTAACTATCAACGTTAAATGGTAATGCCACCCAAAACTAAGCAGTCAGTCTTGAATGGACAGTAGTGTGTTAAACCACCCAACAATAGGGACAAATTCTCAGGTTGTTCTCTCTACTCCAGCCCAGTCTTTCTCATTGTTGTGCAAATGTGTCACCAAACTCTTCTGTCTGGAATAAAGCCAAATCAGAAATGTAACAGATGTGTTATGTTGGGTGGAGTTCTTATTAGTTGGTGTTTGATAGCACCCACCAGAGTCAACCCAAAGCGGAGTGATTAGTTTTAGGCAGACTTGCCTTTAATGCCTTTACTGCTAGCTTGAATTGGTCAGAACTGGTATAGACTTTGTATTATACCCATCCAGCAGCAATGGGATTAAAGTGAACTATGTATATAGGCAGTAGTTTATGTGGACATGGCAATCTACCAAATAAACAATAGGCTTCATATACCAGTGAACTATAATATTTTGCCCTTTCTATAGGTGATATTTTTGTAAAAGGTCTGATTGCCATGAATATTTCCTCTCAGGGAACCTTTCGGGTATTTTTATTTTCATGAAATCCTGAATACATTTTTCCAGCTCTTCCTCAATAGAGAGTTTTTCTTTCACAACTTTTTTTTTACTTGTGTTGGACTCTCTTGACCCAGTTGTTAAAGTTCTTAAAAGGTCACTTTTCCTGCGTATTTCTGACTGCTGGATAATCTGCACTGGTCCTTTCTTGGCTGGTCGGTCTAGAGTCTGTATGTTGGGCTGGCGAGTTACCGGACCACAGATGACTGTCTCTTGAGGAGAGCTGGCTTCAGATTGACTATCACAGCTGGATGTAGAAAGTTCATTGCAAGATGTTCCACTTTCACCTTCTTTCTCCCCCTTTGTGTTTTTGCAGCAGCAATCACAATGAGTTGAAGGCCATCTAGTGGGTCCTCCTGAAAATAAAATAGGTACAGATTAAATATGTAAACATTAGCAAATGCATATGTATCATGTTTGCTAGTAAATAAACCTTGTTTGATTGCTAAAAGAACCTTATACCTCCTCTACTCAAAAAGCGAATCAGTAGTTGAATTCCTTTAGCGTGTGAAAGCTACTTACTGAATCACTGTATCAAAAACCAAACCTGTACCTCTGTAACTTACAAAGCTGTCACTTCCTCTAAATGACTAATACTATTGCATACATTTACTGTAAGTATCAAAATATTAGCCAGGTTATCAAATAAAACAAATAATTACTTTTCTCATAAACCTTAAAATGAACTTCTAAAAACATATCTACAAAGATCAAAAGCATAGATCACCCCCATTTTGTAGGATGTTAAAGTGCACTGTGTGGTCTTATAGACCATCTCAACATATGTCCATAGCATAAGTAGCTACCTTGTTTTTTCCCCCAAAGTTTTTATCCAGGTTAGTTTGCATAAAGAGACTCACAGTTATGCTTCCACAAACTATGTATGTTCATATGTAGAGTATCCATATCTATCACACAATCCCCTGTAGGGAGACTGTGTGGGCTAGAGTTTGCATGTCCATTAGAAAAGGCTGACCAAGAAAGGGACTCCAGGGAGACTGTGTATATATGTAAGGAATGTCTATAGCAATCACATGATTCCTGTAGGATGACAGCCCATGCTAGTTATGAAGTTAACCTGTCGATCTGCAAAATCCATTCCTGAGTTAAGTCAGCCTGCATGGTGTGCCCCTCCTCTAAAGCACTCCTTTGTACACAGGTGGCTCCCACCCTGAGTCCAAAACTCGCACTGAGTAATCTGTGAATTTGGCACAAAAAACAGACAAAGTTGTGTCTTTGCAAAGCTACCCGGGGGTAGCAATGCTACCCCAAGGATTGCCATCCTTCTGATTTCTGCTATGATGAAACATCAAAGACTTGGCTTAGTCTGGATTTCCGCTGGCACATGGATTACTCATCAGCATGAGTATGGAACTCAGCTTGAGAGGCACCCGTGTACGGAGGAGTGCTTAGGAGGAGGGACACATCATGCTGGCCTGTTACGTGCATGTCACCTGACACATCAAGTGGTTTCTCTACTTATTCACATAATTTGATCTTAAAAGTTTTAATGACTAGAGAGGTGTGCCCCGAACTATATAATTCCAAATTAGTCCCATATTTTATTTTACTGACGAGAGTAACAATGGAAAGAAACATATGTGTAGAATAGCAGCCATGATGCTAGGTAAATCATGTTCAATTAATATTTTTATTTTTAGTGGTGCCACAGAGAAAAAAGTATACTGTATATAAGTGACCAGGGTCACTCAATGGGTAAGCTCAACATACAATACATGGTTTGGCTGAAGAGAGAAAATAATCAAGGTTCTATGTTTAGGTAAACAGAACAAGATTCTGTTTACAGACAATGTTAATACATACACAATCATACATCATACAACTCTGTTACAGGTCCTATTATGTCTATACAACTCCATGAGGAAATATACAAAATCAGCAGTGCTTGTGATGAAATATCACCTTAGAAAGGTGGGAGCCTTGCAGTCTGTGAATACTCATGCCAGGGACAGTTATAGACCCACACTTAGACTTCTTCTATATACAGCTCCAAAAAATCAATAGTAGCTAAATTGAAAGTTATTTAATTCTTGCCTCAGGAAAAACTATTGAGTGACACCCTGTAAAACTGGCCTTGTGAATTTCCAAGAAACTTATACATGAAGAGTATTGATTTTTACTTGTATTGGCTCGGTTCCAAGGTGCTTACCCTTTTCGTGTGCTTTCACTTTGTTTCTGCCTCAATTACCTTTCTCATCAAATAAACTAATCCCAGTGTTACATCTTTCTTTTCAAATATTTTATTGTTTTCATCAAGACATATTAGAACATATACATCATGAAACCATATAATAAAATATCATCCGTCTAAAATGGCATTACTCATTCGGCCCCACATATTTCTTATTCTCTTCCCAATGTATATATAAATATACAGATAACCTGTAGGAGCAGAAAAGGACATAACCATTGTGTATACTATTAAAAAGGGTACCTTAATATTATATTATTACGTTAATAGATATATTAATATATTTTACCAGTCATTATTTTAACTTTCCAATGTCCAACTAGCACCTTAGTCCCCTCAGTCTAACACAATACCAGGGTCAAATCCATTACAAAGTAACATATTTCCCCAATGAACCTTCCCCTAAACATGAGGTCCGAGAGCCGATTTACTGGTAAACATAACTAGTGGCCCCCAGATTTGGCCAATAAGTAATCCCTGTTTAGATGTTGCTTATGAAGACTAACACAGTAACTTATATAACTAACCTACATAGTTACATACACAGAGAAAAGAAAAGAAGAAAAAAAAAGAAGAAAAGAAAAGAAAAGAAGGGGAGAAGAGGAGAAAGAAAGAAGAAAGAGAAGAAGGGCAAAAAGAGGGAAACCACTTAAAATATAGCTAACTGGGGAAACCCCATTTCAAAATAGGGAGCAAATTGATTGATTTGGTCAAGGCAGATTAAGGCCCTAAGTTTCCCACTCGCATTCATATTGTTGCGCAGCCTTCGTAAGCCGACCACGGATCCCATGTTAACTCAAACTGTGCAACTTTATCCTGAAGAATACTCGCCAATTTTTCATGAATCATGATCCAAGACAGCTTGATTTTTACTTGTCTCAGTGACACTCTGGGTGTTTTTCAAGCCCTAGCGATTGTAATTTTAGCTGCCAGGAACATGATCAATCTTGTACAATGTCTAGATATCCCAGGGAGTGCGTCATTAAGGAGAGCGTACCCGGGATCTCTAGGGACACGCACCTGGAAGATCAGATTGAACACCCTTCCCCAGAATGCACGGATACGAGGACACGTCCACCACACATGGTACATGGTGCCCCCAAGCTCACATCCTCGAAAACATAGGGGAGCTGATCCTGGATACATAAGAGCAAGTCTAGAGGGCACCAGGTACCACCTGGAGAAAACCTTAAAGTTGGCATCCATCAGTGAGATGTTGAGCAGGCCCCTGGTTGTCGCTCTTGAGCGACGCCTCCATACCTCCTCTGACGCTTCCCTACTCAGGTCCCGTTCCCAGGCCCACATATATGGTTGTTTGGGAGGAGATTCTGACATTATGGAATACAGCAGGGATATGCCCCCTTTTTGATTAATGGAGTGGAGGCACCAATGTTCATAGGGGCTAAATTCTCTACCTGGATCGCTTCTTACTGTTACATTACGTAAAAAATTAGTGATCTGGTAATTACGGAACAGTTCCGAGGGTGGCATACCTAGATGCTCCCTGCAGTATTCCAAAGTCAGAGGTCTCCCCTTTTTAAGATATTGACCGATTCTATATAAGCCTTTATCCAAGGGGCAAGAGGAGTATGATCTGAACGAATGTTTTCATTAGTTTTTACGCGGTCCCAAAGGGCCAGAGAATTGGAGAGGGTAGGGGCCATGATAGGTGGAGGTAATGTAGAAGGTAGCCATTTCAGTAGATCTAAAAGGCATGTTTCTGGCTGCCTCAGATTCCATGAAGACCCAATCTGGTGGCTCCTCTTTGGAGTATATTACAGATAACTGTGCTATACGTGCAGCCTGTTAATAGTGATGTATATTTGGAACCCCTAACCCCCCCAAATTCCCTGGTAGTATAAAGTGTGATTCTCGGTAAACGATGACCTTTGCCTCCCCATATAAATTTCACCAAGCTAGATTGAAAGCTGGCTAATTCGGGTCTAGGGATCGGGATAGGGAGAGCTCTAAATAAGTATATTAGTCGAGGGAGGAGAGCCATGTTAATAGCATTTATTTTCCCTAGCCAGGATAGGTTGTACAGCGACCACCTATCCAGGTCCCCCTTCAATTTCCTAAAGATAAGAGGAAAATTCGCCCGATACAGTAGGTCGAAAGAGGGAGTAAGGTTAATCCCTAAATATGGTAGCGTGGTTGACGGCCAAGAGAAAGGAAACGCCCCTTTTAACGTATTCACTAACTCCAAGGGCAAATTTATATTCAGAGCCAAGGACTTAGTTGCATTTATCTGGAGCCCAGACACCTTCGCAAATCTATCGAGTGAAGACATTACATTAGGGAGGGTAATCAATGGTTGAGTGACAAACAACAATAAATCGTCTGCAAAAAGAGCACATTTATGTTCTTTAGCACTGCAGTAAACTCCTTTGATGTCTAAATTCTCCCGTATTAAAATGGCTAGGGGCTCAATCGCCAAGGCAGATAACAAGGGCGAGATGGGGCAGCCCTGTCTAGTGCCTTTATAAATCAAGATTGGAGCTGATTTAAATCCCTGCATCTTAATAATAGCTGATGGGCGAATAAACTGCTTACCAAACCCCCATTCTTCTAAAAGCATGAAAAAGATAAGTCCAAGATACCGAATCAAAGACTTTTTGTAGATTGACTGATAACAACAAGCCAGTGACACCTGGAGTTTTACCCCACCCTGATTTTAACAAGGATATTATATCAATTGTTCTACGAATTTGGTCTAGCCCCTGCCTCCCCTTGATAAACCCCACTTGATCTTTATGAATGTAGTTGGGCAGAAAATAGTTCATTCTATTTGCCAGGACTTTTGTAAGCAGTTTAAGATCATTGTTAATTAAAGATATAGGTCTATAATTAGCTATTTCTCCCGAGTCTTTATTATGGTTAAGGGATTAAACTCAAAAATGCCTTGCTCATATGCGAGCTTAAAGACTCACCCCTGCCAATAGCTAAAAAAAAAGGGCTTCAAGATGAGGAAGGAGTATCTCTTCAAATTTTTTATAACAACTGGCAGGAAAGCCATCCGGCCCAGGGGCCGAGGATATTTTGGCCTGTTTAATAGCTTGTTTAATTTCGGATTGGGTGATTGGTTCTTCCTATAAAGCTACATGTCCAGGGTTTAAATTGGGAAGTGCTAGGGATCTCAAAAAT